AGCCAAACCAAGTGATTTCTTCTCCATGGGGCCACACAGGTCTGTATGAACCACTTCTAGGACCCTGCTGCTCGTGCTGGTACTAGTAGAGAAAGGCAGCCTGCTTTGTTTGCCTTCGCAGCAAACTACACAATTTGATTTGCTTATATTCTGTTTTTCCTGGTAAGTTACACCTTTGACTGCTCCTTTTTTCATTTTCTCAAGGTCATTCATATTTATATGCCCCAATCGTCTGTGCCAAATGTTGCACGAGGTCTGTGCAACTGCTGCTAAAAGCTGCTTCGACCTTTCAATGTTTAATTTGTACACTTCATTTTCCAAGCTCGCTTCACCAATACAAACATTCTGAGTGTTGTAGATGTAACATCCATCTTTATTGAAGGATACTCTGTTACCATTTGCAATCATTCTGCTGACTGAAAGCAAATTTGTGGTGAGTGTTGGTATGCACAAAACATTCTTTATTTCTACTTCATGTGTGATTGTTTTCACTCGCGTAGTAAGCCGAAGATCTCCGGAGCACAACACTGAAACTTTGGTGCGATCAGCGACAATTATTTCTTTCACTTTCGGCTCATAAGATATGTTTGTCAACATGTTCTTGTTTGACACCATGTGAGCACTTGCGCCAGAGTCGACGTACCAGTCGTCTTGATTGAACTCTCGCGCAAGAAAAACTGCACTCAGCACGTTCGAAGTTGATTTCTGTTTGTCTTTATTTAATAGGCGGCACTGGCTCTTGAAATGTCCGATCCTTTTGCAATGGTAGCAACGAATTTGTTTTTTCTGGGTTGTATTGACATTGACGTTTCTACTGACAGATGACTGTTTCATTTCATTTTTGCTACTGCCACTATGCGCCTGTAGGTGGCGTTTCTGTACTTGTGCAATTAGCGCGCTCTTCTGACTTAACTTCAAATTCCGAACACATGTCTAACAATTTCGTTTTTATAGCATCAGCACTTATCTTCAATCCTGAATGTTCGATTGCCATTATCATTGGGCTAAATCTTTCTGGCAGTCCTGCCAGCAACAGAGAGCCGATCCATTCATCGTTTATTTCGAATCCGGTGCCCTTCAATCGCTGAGCAGTTTCGATCTGTTAACGTAGCTGGTCATACTATCACAACTCTCCATACGTATTGATATTAGGCTTCTAAGGAGAGTAATCTTGCGCGTAAAACCAGAGTCATCGAACAATGATTTCAGTTTGGCCCACAAAGCTTGTACCGTGGCTTCGGTTTTTATATGGACAAACAATGACGGATCGATTGTCATAATTATTTTTGCCCTCGCTTCTTATTTTCAGCTTCCGTTAGCCCCGTAGTGCTGGTTACATCTATGCCTTCCAGAATCATGAAGTTTTCGGCGGCAAACGCCCAGTCGTCGTAGTTCTCGCGTCCTTTTAGTTTAGGAACGTTCACTGAGTAATTACCTGACGACATTTTAGCACTGACAGTCTATAAAAAGAAGGAACACCGAAAGTCGCAAACGCTAATCACTTTTTACTTTTCAACTGGGCCCATAACCTAATAAAATAATAAAACTCGCTTGGTGGTTTGCAACAGACTAACCTTTATTTATAGTCATCTATAAGTCTATAACAGAGTAGGCAGATTTACACTCATATACCAATAGATGGCCTTAGTAGTATGATGTTTTGTTATTAAGTTACAATTTATTTATAACACATTGCAATCTTCTAGGCACTGAAAGCGGTTACGTAACTCGAGCTGAAAAGATTCAGGATTCTGGATTAGAGCACGAGGGGGACGGAGCGTTGACTTCATTAGACGAGACCTCTCCAACTTAACGTTTAGGTTCAGTGTGCCTCTAACCATTCGGTGATCGCTGCCGGTTTTCACACTTGCGATCACTGAGACATCACTGAACAGTTGGCGTCTGGTCGTCATAATGAAGTCAATCTCATTTTTTGTCGAACCGTCGGGGCTCGACCAGGTCCACTTCCTGTGGGGCCGCTTCTGGAAGAAAGAGTTCATCATAAGGAGTCCCTCTTTCTCCATAAAGTCAGCCAGCTGCTGGCCCCTACGGTTCCGTTGCCCTACTCCAAAATTCCCTAACTTCAGCTCACCGCCTTCTCTTGTGCCTAGTTTTGCGTTGAAGTCTCCCATCAACACCGTGTAGTGGGTTTTGAAGGAATGCATGGCTCTAGAAATATCCTCATACATTTCCTCCACCTCCTCATCGGGATGTGCCTAGGTTGGTGCGTAGACCTGTATGACCTTCAGCGAATACCGTTTGGTGATTCTGAGTATCAGGTACGCGACCCTCGTTGACACACTCCCAATCTTTACAATGTTGTTGACGAGAGACTTGTGGACGATAAATCCGACACCTCCTTGGGACATATGTTCGCCCTCCCGGAGATAGAACAAGTTGCCGGGCTCGAGGATTACCGTGTCCTCCCCCTCTCTTCGGACCTCAGATAATCCAATAATATGCCAGCGCAACTTGTCTACCTCTTCTTCCAGCTCCAGTATCTTCTCATCAGTCCTCAGTGTGCGTGCGTTATACGTTGCCAGGTCGAGTTCGTCTTAGGTGGCAACCGAAGCTCCACCGGAGATTCTTAGCACCCCCTGCCCCGCCGTTACCATGGTCGCCACCGTAGCCAGGAATAGCGGGGCCGCCGGGGACTGGGGGCCGTTTATTTGCGTCGTTGCTCATGGGGGGATATTTGCCATATTTGCCACGCTTGGCGAGCGGGTTGGCAACCGCAGGTTATTAGGAAGATGCTGCTGCCCATCTCCTTTCTGTGTCCCTCTGTCGCCTCTTACGACACTAAGACTATATTTAAACCAAATTTTTTGTAAACGCAAAAATTTCCTAAAATATATAAATTGTTTGTGTTCATCACACGTATGTTTTTTTGGAACATCAATAAAAATAAAATTCGTTTATGAAATACAAATTAAAGAATCAATTTTATGCAAAAATATGTTGAGTCGTATTTATGTGATAAACCGTAAAAAGCAGTGAAATTCATTCATATTCAGTTAACACTTCAGATATTTCGCTTACGTCAAGAGTTTCAGCAAATAGCGTGTTAAACATACATCGCTATAAAACCAGATTATAAAAAATCTCCAAAATAGTCCATATTCTAGATGTAGCATATACGGGCTGTAACATTAATCTATTTGGTCTTTAGTTATAAAATTGCGGTTTTTTATGAAATAACCTTAACTAATTTCTTTTCTGTATATTTTATTTCTATTATTAACAGGTGACCCATACAATCAAAGCATCTTCACCAACGCAGTGGAAGTTTATTGTTGCCCTTATTGAAGAAATCAGCTAGAAGCCAGGAAACAAATTATTCAAGGCATTTTGTACTGCCTCACGGGTATTGATTTTTTTCCGTCAAAACTTATCCAAGTTCTAGCAAAAGTAGAAAAGTCTGTAAGCGCAAGGTCTGGTGAGTACGGCGGTTAAAGAAGATCTTTCAACCCCAAATTTTGTAACTTGGAAACCGTCTGTTGTGCAGTATGAAGTCGAGCGTTTTCGTGTAGGAGCAGCGGAGACGAGGGATCAAACTCGACCGCCGAAGTTACCTAAATTATTAAATAGCGAAAATGCTTAGTATTCTACAAACGTGTCACTGCTTGCAGTCCCATGTTGTCGGTCGAAAATGCAAATTATTCGTCTTACCGGAATATAAAGTGTAGAAATTATTGAATAAACCTATTTATACGGATTTTATCATGTTTAATTAACCTATTTTTCACGGGCGGGAATAAGATGTTTGACGTCCCAATGTCATGTGTTGGTCCTGTTACCTTCAGTTCAGTTTTTGATATTTTTTCGAAACTTTGGAAATTAAAAATAAGTGTTCGCGTAAATTTAAGAAATCTTTATTTTGAAATTATCTTCTGTTTTTCAGGGAAATTACTCTGTGATGGCTGACTTCTAAGTTCACCTAGCAGTCAGCCCCCGCAGAGCCTACATCACTTGAGGATGCCTTTGCATCATATATTATGTCGTGGTAGAGCCACGCTGCAGCTATATAATGGTTGTATCACGAATGTGTCGGCTCAACCGGGGAAGGACCACGCTCTCACAGAATACCAGCGTAAAATAGCATTAATACTGCTGTGTTTCGTATGGTGAGTGTAGAGATCCGGAGACCCTTTTTTACTGGAAATTAGGCATTCCATCTAAGTCCTCAGGGGTGACAACGCATCTGCGTTTTCCGATGCTGCGATGTCCGTGGGCCACAGCATCCACTTACCATCAGGTGCATATATATATATATATATATATATATATATATATATATATATATATATATATATTATCGACGGTTTGTGCGTTTCCTAGTGTAGTGGTGTTGGGAGTAGTGGTGCTGGGATTAGCGGTGACGGAGATAATGCACGCAATTTTGGGAGGATGGGAGGTGTGAAGAGCACCTCCTGTCCTCTGTAATTTTTACCAACTTTAATAAAGTTACATATATTATTGCTATATTTACTATATGGAAACCATCTCTATTTTCCAATCTCTCCAGTTTTAAGTACTTTTCAAGTTACTGCTTGACTTTCTTTTGTGAGCTGATAGTATTTAAAGCAATAGTAAGATTAACCGTGTTGAGGCGGTGTTAGAATATCAACTACTGCACATCTTCCAGTGAGTGTGATAAGAAATTAAAGATGAATAAAAATTAAAGACTTTGCATGAAACTAACCGCACCAATAACTTAGTCAATACCTACACCGAATATCTAGAATTTATTGTTTTCAGATTTTTTCTATGTACATGACTAATCATCCATGTTGATGCCAAATTTTAAACAAAAGGACGAACTCAGAAGCGGCTTAGGTTTTGGAGGGGTCAATCAGTAAGTTTTAAAAATAGCAATTTTCGGAGCTGTAAAACTACAACCTTAAGATTATCCTCGGTCGTGCCCATATCCAGTCTCCAGACATGTAAAAACTTCTTACGTTCAACTGCCTTCAAGAACACAATAGACGAGTTTCCGCCTCTTATGACTGGTCTGACCTCCTTTTTCCCTTTGACTTCAGTTCATGTATTGGTATCGCTGGGCGCGGGCTGCGCCGGCCGCTCCACCGACAAGCCGGCGCCACCGGTGCCAGCGACAAGCTTGGAGTGGTATCAGACTCCAGTTTTGACACCGTTGCCTTTCGTCGACTTTGTCGATTTTCTTCGACTTTATTTATTCCATTTTTCAAAATTGAAATCTGTTGCTCTAATAAACTGCATTTTTTATTTGCTTCACTTAGATCTTGTCTTAGTTTACTATTTTCCTGTGCTAACACTGTAACGGTAGCTTTAATTTCGTTTAAAACTTTGGTCTCAAAACTATTCAATTTTTCAACAATCACATTATTTACTTTATACAATAAATCTGCAACGTCGATCATCCCTTCAGATGTCAAAGATCCTTTTTTGTCTAGGGGAGTGCTTTCTTCGAAGGATAAGTTGGATAAATCTTTGTCCCTTAGGTGTACATCAGAGCCACGAACTGGGGTCTCATCGGTTACTCGTATGCCAGCGCATTGTCGTATGACAGTTACATTGGAACAAGAACTACACATTAAAGTGCGCTTCAGTTGCTGTTGCCTGCCTGGTGATGGAATTATATGGTGTAATGTAGATTATGAGAAGCACCAGCTTTCAAATAAAAATAAGAATCATAAAAATCGGTTCGAAAGAAAAAAAAACGAGTTTTGATGAGACATAAAAAATACAGTATAGTTGAGAACCTCCTCCTTTTTTGAAGTCGGTTGAAATCGTTTCATTTTATTCGTGTTAGACCCATGCTGCAGCTATATTATCGCGGTAGCGTGAATGGGTTGGCTCGACCGGGAATATTGTAATAATGTTGCTCTAATGAATTGAATTAAATGATTTTGAATGCAAGCAATATTGGCAAATAAAAACTACCGATATTTGGCGTAAAATATAATATGTTAGAGGAACACGCGAATAAATAACGTTTTTCACAATTGCATTAATATCTTATATCTATTATAACCTACTATTTTTATATCAGGTGCGTCTTCCAATGAATATATAACAAAAGTCAATTGTCTTGGAATCAAAATTGCGAAATGATGAAAGAATGTAGTGTAAAATGTAAATATTAATTTACATTCCTTAATCATTAAAGTTAAATTATTTTTAACAAAACAATGATGAATTTCATTGTCTTCCATTAATTTACAACATGATGTTTATTTACTGTTTTCGATTCATATCATTGGTCCCACTTAATATTGATTGGCGTCATAAAATAAATGCTGATATTATTTTTACGTTTGAGTAGACTTTAAAATTTCGTAAATGTAGTTCTATAATGATTTCTTACATTTACGCAAATGCTCCCATGGAATAAAATGATCTGAAATTGAAAGATTTTACCTTTTTTTACGTAGATTTTTCACGCATCTTCGGGTGCAAGATCCATAAAAACCCGCGTAAAAGAACATATCGTTAATGTGAAGTACCGACTCTCCGGGAAATCTGTTTAGTACTCGTATCGTCCCAACCATTATATCACATCTGATAGAACATAAACCCTCACCAAAGAATCGCGATTTCTACTAAGGATAATTTGCAAGGATATTGAAATAAAAAAAACATCCTGATTTCTATAGAGAACATGTCTGGGGGCTACCATCTCCTTGGGTTTCCATAATTAATAAAATTAAATTCAGACCTAGGCATAATACTGCAAGACAAATAGCCTTCGTTCACTGTATCAGAATGTTAAACACCTCAGTCCCCCCCGTAACCATGGGTGCTGTAAAGTATTAAAAAAATTAAAATTAAAGGTGATAAAATTCTTAAAATTAGTATCATTCCAAATGAAGATCTATTCACAGAGAAAGAGTGGGAAGAACTACACACATGAATGGGAGTAGAAAAATGTTCACCTTGTTGTGGCGGCGAAAAAGAAACCGTCATCTCGTCTTAGCAAATATCCAGCCTATTAAATATGTATAACTTATAAGGGAGGCCTATGTGGACATTTGATAGGTTGTAATGATGACGATGGTGGGTTCTGCGCATAGAAAATTGCCCCATTAAAAGTAAAAAAGTAGCGGCCTAATTCTCGTCATTATCATTACTGGGCACAGGCTGCAGACAAATTTTGGTCAAAAAAGTTTTCGCTGCGCTGACCACGACACGGTATGACCTATACTGGAGAACCAGATATGCAGGATTCCTCGCGATGTTTTCCTCACGAACGTAGTAAATTCAAATTGCAACAAACTTCAATTTGAAATTAAAATTCTTTTTAACTACTGAGACACCTGGGTTCCAGAGGTCAGCAAGTAACATTTCCTATAACAGATTTATTTATCCTCAAAGGAATCATACACGTTTTGCTCTCGTGTCATGATGAAATCTCACGGCCTGCTACACGGCTCTCGTATTTATTTACTAACTGAAACAAAGCTTTTGTACGATTACTGACCATATCTACCGTAATTAGATATCCAGCGATGCCACGAACTATTTCTTCAAATAGAGTTAAAATACTCACAGTGTATTTAATTTTCAATTATTAACGGCAGATAACTTGATAACAAATGAAGTTGGTGAAATTAAAGCTATGCCGATGGACAGCCTACATATTCAACTAAAAAGCTTTGCTCATAATCAGAGTTTTTTGTACACGGTATTAAATATAACTGTCATTTTGCCAAACGTGGTAATTGCAGTTAATCATGACGATGATGGCCCCCGGTCTGGGTATTTAAAGTTTTGATTCTAAACGAATGAGTATTATGTAGCCTCTATTATTTAATTTTATCAGTGACTTATCATTAGTTTATTTAGCAATGGGAAGATGGCGATATTATTAGATAAAATAATGAAAACCAAAACTATGCTATCTTGTAATATCTGCGATAGAATGTTGGGCTATGACCGGAAAGCTGCGAATTTTTTTTTATTTTATAAATAAGGTATAAAGTAATATTGATTCTGCTAAAAACTCTGCGTTAAAATATGCTGTCAGCGCCGCTAACGGTGAAAAACCATTTGACGATATGACATGTATAGCAATATTGTAGAATTATTTGAGTTTGATATCGTCATACGGTCTCTATTTATTCGGACAACTTTATTACGACATGGTCAACAAACAGTGTTAAGTTACTACTACTATTTCACGAAATTTATTACTTTAAGATACGATCAGTCTACGATTTGGCCACGACATATATAAAAATCTCTGAATGAACCATAAGGATAAGGAGAATTTCGCAATAATTTTGGGCAGATTAGTTTAAATCAGTTTACATATACATTAGTAATTAAACTAAAAACCATATAGATTTTCATATTTTTGATAAACGTCACTATTATCTATTTAAGTTATTATACTTTTTAAATTAAATAACGGAAAGTATAAAAAAGTTAAGATTATTAAATAATTTTATGTAATTATCTTATTTTAACATATAAATGTAATTAATTTAATTATATTTTATATAATTAATAACTTACTGAAGGCAAAATGTACTTTTTCTTAATATGCTATTTATTTGAAAAATTGCCAGTCATCCTGCATATACACGAAAAGAGAGAATCGTAATAAAATTTTTACATCTAAAGGAATAAAAATATTTAACACTCCTTTTTTTGAAAAGCCGTAGTCGGATAAAAAGTGACCTATAAGTAGCCCCTGGTTACTAACTATCTACGTACAAAATTTTAGAATTTGGTCCAGTAGTTTTTGTCGTGAATACACAGACAGACAGAAAGAAAGACAAACAGACAGATAAAAATTCTAAAAACCACTAATTTGGCTTCATTACCCTTTACTTAGTCCCCTGGAGTTGTTTTTAAAGAATATATTAGAATTACAGACACGACTTTTCTACAGATTTATTATATGTATAGATTGTTACGAGATCAAAAAAGAATAGTGTTAAACATAGTTTAGAACTTAATAATTAATAGTTTGGTTTTGAAATCAATTTGAATCATTATCAAAAAATAAATCAAAGATATAAAATAAAAGTATCTTCAACCGCATTATTATTAGTTGTTGTAAACCTTCTTCACAGTCACAAAAGAGGGATTGTGGTAAATCAACGTCCTCCAAACGCTTTTTTGGTCATATTCGTCTTATATTTATTGACGGTGTAATTTTTTATTTAATTTTCAAAATTATACCTCAATAGAGAGTATTTTCTTGTAAACGTGAAACACTGACCTCCACTGACACACTGACAAAATCAGACCCATAGAATTATCTTACTATCAATATTATGTTGCCAATTATCAAGATTCACTAGCTTTTTTTTGTCATAATTTACTATTTTAGTCCTATTACATCATTTATCATTCATAGCAGCCTAACAAAAGTTTCATAATAGGAATATTTGCCATAGTTGCAGCGCATGAGAGCTGCAGTTTTTTTTTTTTTTTCAAATTAAGTTGATATCACGAGATTGCTGCTGCCCCTCTTCCGTTTCATTTCTCCCTATCGCCTTACACCTTATATCCACGAGATGATAACATCAGATGGCATTAATTAATTGATATTTTTCACCGGTATAGATTTCAAAATAATGTTGTAGATTCATTTTGGAGTATTAACACTTTTTTCATGTCTCTTGAAATCGCTCTCATATCGGTTATGCCCAGTTTCGAAAAATCTGTGCGTAATGGAAATCGCAAATAATTTTGCGCCATAGACATACAAGGATAATTTATACACATTTTTATCTGGCCGTAGCAGCCATCAGCGTAAAATGAAAAATTGTTAATAGCTGTATAAAAAAGTTTATCTAGCAACACTTCATTTCTGCCACTTTTTGGTAATCTAGTTTTATACTTGCTTACAGCATCAAAATAGTAAAATTATACTCTGGATACTATCTTTTGATTATTACATTAAATTGTTGTCCAACAGTAATACAAATAGCAATTGTTTTTTTTTTCTATCTGAATGATAACGATGAATTTTTCTAGAGCCGCGTTTATTGTATAGTTATTACTACTATCTAACTCGTGATTATTAAAAACTCTGTAACCGTTGTAATTCATAACAGAAGGATCACACACCGACTTTTCAGTGAAGTCACAAGGCTCCAACTTAAAACCAGCGCTGCTTTCGCAGCTTTGCGCTGTATGAGAGACCTATTTGAAATTACATTTTGATTTTGATATTTTTTAAATAAAGGAAAATGTTATAGATGATGAATTACACGTTATTATTTTCAGTGGGTATCAACCCGATATCATTTGAAAACAATAACGGCTGTCACCTACCTAGCAAGCATGAGTAACAGCAATTGCAAATATCTCCCTATGAGGTAATCTAAGGGGAGAGTCCCTTAGACTATCTCATACCTATTTTTGGCAGTAGTTTTTTGACAGGCTCTAATGAATGAATTAAGAAACTTAGTTTAGAAACCCCGACCGGAAATTTCGTATTCCGTTACACTTACCGCTAGACCACGTCTTCTTTTATTAAGAATTAATCAATCACACAAAATAACTGAGCAAGAAAAAGAATTTAAATATAAGACAGTATATGAAATTATTATTTCGGCAGTGGTAGCAAAATATTTTA